CATAAAATTAATGTTTTCTATCATACTCCGTACTAATTACTAACTCCCTCTAAATCCTCCACCTCATCCCCTATTAGACACCATCCAAATGTATGGCTATTAGTCAATTTGAGCACACATTTGGAAGAGAGCACGGGTGACGGGGGTGGGAGTGGGACTGGTGTGGGGAGTGTTAGAATTTTAAAAAAATTACATTCATTTATTAAATAAAATTAGATTTATTAAATAAAAAATTTACATTCATTGAATAAGAAAAGTACACGGTGCGATAACAAGAAAGGAGGCGGTGTGGCCCAGGGCTCCAATGGCCGAATTTTGGCCTACAATTTGCGTCAAAAGTTTGATACTGCAAAAATGACGGTACAATAACGGGAAAGGAGACTCTGTTCAACACCAATTTTGGCCTAGAATTTTTTTAAAGACGGGACGAAATAGTGAAATAGTCAACTAAAATATTTATGTGGAGCATAAAATAAGCAACACTTAGACCCACTATTCGTGAAAGGACCATGCTAGGGTGCCACCACATGGGTGCTACCATGGGTGCATCCATGCTTCGCACAGACAAACACAGACGATAATTGTCTGTGTCGCACAGACAATTATCGTCTGTGTTTGTCTGTGCGAAACATAGGTGCACCCATGGTAGCACTCATTTGGTGGCACCCTAGCATTTTCCTTCGTGAAATTTGATCATTTGTTCAAAAAGAAAAGCCCTCCTAGCGGCTAGCAGTAGCGGCTACAAGCAACCCAAGATAACCCAAAGAGCATTTACACCACATCCAAATGTGCTCCCCTCAACTCTTGTCATATCGGTATTCTATTAATTTTTTTGTATCGTATCAAAATTCTGCAATGATATCTTCCTAAAAAACATGTCTCTCCATCTTTTTATATTACTCATCAACTTTAATTACAATTTTTTGAAAAACAAAATACATATAATTAAAATAAAAATGCTAAGATTGACATTCTTTATTAAAAACAACATCGATATGGAAGATTAAATACACCAAAATATAATTAGAATTGGAAAACAAAAGAAAAAGACAAAATTATTAAAATTAATGCCACAATTAAGTATTGAAGTGAAAGACGTGTTGAATTCATAGAGTTGAAAGAAAAAAAATCAAAAAATACAATTTTCTGACGCGACGGATCGCCTGCACGTGAAAAATAGCAGTGAATCCAATGGACCAATGCGGCTTCACGCCGTGGTTGGGGCGAGCGACGCGGCGGAAGAGGTGCAGCGGCGGGCAATCCGCAATTCCTTCTCGCCATTTGTGAGCCGCGACGGTTTTTGCTTCGCTGCAATTGGTAGTGCCAAAATATATCAAAATTGGAAAATTCAATTCCATTAAAATCAATTCCATGCAATTTCAACTCTCAATTCAATTCTCATTTCGCGTTGGGAGTTGTAGGGCGAGCGGCGAATATCCACTGCAGGGAGATAGGCCTGGACGGAAGCCGCTGCGAGTGCGAGCGCGCAGCGTGCAGCCGGGCATGGGGCGCGGCAAAAGGGCAGCTGCAACCTGCGGACGCCATTGACAATTGTTTTTTTTTCAATTTCATCTTTTTATTTTAAATTCTATAATTTTAATTTTATGTACACTTTTTCACTCCTTAGCTATTGCTACAACGGATCAATTTATGTTTTGAATTTCAACTTCTTTTAAAATTTCAATTTTATTTTTTTATTTCAATAATTAATATTTGTGAAATTTGTACTAACTAGTACTAAAATATATGTCATTTCCCAATGTAGTAATTAAAATTTTTTTATTCTCTAAATAGTACGTGAATAATGTATAGTGACGAGAACAATGTCTAATAATGGTGGACATTTAGTTTGAACAATATCAAGTGACGGTAGATATTTACTTGAAGAATGACTAGTGAACAATGACCAGTAGTTCTACATTGAAAAATAAAAATATATAATACTATATTGAGAAAATCAATATGTTTTAAACTATATAGATAAGTTTCTCTTAATATTTAATTAATGTTAATCTTTTTATTTATTTTGGTTAATTTTTAATTTATTAGTTTTATTTATTTTTATTTTATTATTTATCAATTTTTATTGACAAAAAATATTTATTAAATTCATTTAAATATTTAATTAAAATTGGTGAATAATGTAAAAAATGGGAAGGCAAAGCGCGAGGGCAACAACATTGCAAATATTTGAAGGTGGGACTGAAAAGGTACAAAGTGATGATGTGGGAGAGAAAGAGAATGGAGATAGGCGAGAGGGCACCCATTGCAAGTTCCAAGTGTTCGAAAACTCAAGAGACGTTCATGATGTCCATGTGTGAAAGTGTTATTGCAATTTTCAAGCACCAAAGTGGTAAAATCCTTCTATTCTTAAAAAGCATGGGAATTCTGCCCCAAACTTTTCCCGTCCAAAGCACATTCATTCAGCACCATTGATTTCATTAGATCTACGGTTGTCCTTCATCTTCGTAAACTACCAATTTAATAAATTCTATTTAAGGTATCACAATTAACTCTCACGTATTGGAATTAATGCGGCATACTAATTCATCATGAAATATTATGTGGTATTTAAGGTAATCGAGGTTAATGAGAACGTATAGGAATTAGAACGAGACATTAAAAAGGAAAATATATTACTGTATGCTTTAATTCAAAAATACGTTTTGAAAACTGATGGTGTAAATTACTCGACCGGTCAAACTATACTAGACCGGGTCTAGAATAGTTTGCTTGATTTGGTAAAGTAAGAAAGGTAAAAACACACAGATTGACCGGTAGGACTTTAGGTGGAACACCTGTAGCCCAATTTATATTATGACGGAGAATGCACGGGTGCTTTTACAAGGGAGTTTCGAGAGAATGAATTCGGATATCTCTTTCTGAGGTTTACATGAGTATTTATACTAGGCTAAGGGGGACAAGACCACGTGCGCCCACGTGGGGGCATGCTGCTGATGTGGTGCGGGGTGACTGGTTTCGTCCTCGAGCTGCCCTGTCGTCTTGTGAGGGGAATTACTTCCCTTGTCGCGTTCTGGTTTGGAAACATTCCTTCAGCATCTCCAGCTATCCTCCATTGACATGGGTCGCTACACGCCAAGCCCTTTTAGATTCTCTTCTGCCGACACTTTCCAACCCTAGAAACTACACCGGGTAATCTCCGAGGGATGAATTTATCGAAGTTAGGGAATAAATAGGGTGACAAAGTAGTTTGACCGGTATACTTTTTCGTGAAGTATACCGGTCATCTTTGGGCCGATTACATATCGATTTGCTGATGATTTAAGTCTCCCTTTCAAAACTTTCGAGATCGACCGGTCAACTAATTGGTTCCCCTCTTTGACCGGTCGTGGGTGGATACAACCATCAAGAACAAGAAAAATTCTAGGGGTACACCAAAGGTGTACCCCATTTGTTCCCCACCCCCTCCTTGTCCACATAATTGGGCAAGAAAATAATAAATAAATAAATAAATAAAAATTAATTTAAAATGAGTGGTGGAGAAAGGGGTGGTGTACAAATGGGGTACACAAAAGTGTACCCTAGCATTACTCCAAAAACAAACGTCATTTTAAACCTTATAAAGAAGGTTTATAAGGTTTATTAACATGTAAAACATAAAATATAACGTAATTCATTAGTAAATATGTCAAGATCGTTAATTACCATTTAAAAGCTGACGTTATTAAATTACCATTTTTGCCCGTTTTATTATTTTTATAAATATTATAAATATAATATTAATAGTATTAAATTAATAATAAATAAATATAATTAAATGGTAGATTGCGCGTATTATTGTTTTTATACATGGTGACATTCAATTAAAATGAGAAATAATTATATCGTCCCATTTCTAAAATTAATAAACAAAATAATAAATAAATTGATAAATTTAAATAAAAAATAAATATAATTAAATGGGACTTTGACCATGTGTAATTATTTATGTTCCCATTATAGTTTATCATGAGTATAATTTGTAACATAAATTACGTTCATGAATATAGTATACTATAAATGTAAGAATAAATAAAAATAAATGGAAACATATAAAAGTGTGACCGTGTAAAACATACTACATACGTAAATGGTAACGTAACTAATGACTAAAAATGTCAGGATCGTTAATAACTATATATAGAGGTGGCCGTATTAAATGGTACCATTAATAATAATAATAATAATAATAATAATCTGAAATTAAATGTTATTTTTACAGCACGGTACTTGGAGGAATACGGTTATGGTAGATAAATAAATATTCTAATTAAATGGAGTGTTCTAAATAAAATGGGGATGAATACGGTAATGGTAAATAGATAAATATTCTAAATAAATGGAGAGTTCTAAATAAAATGGTAAGTTTTGATACAACATGGTACATGGAGGATTACGGTAATGGTAAGTAAATAAATGTTCTAAATAAATGGAGTGTTCTAAATAAAATTAAAAAATGCTAGAGTCACAAACAAATAACTTACACAATTCACAAATTTGTCTTTTCGTAGATGTTATATTAAAATATCTTTTATTGTTTAAGTGTACCTTACTTTTACCAAGAATTTAAAAAGACAAGTTTGTGATTTTTATGAACGATTTGTTTGTGACTCTAGCATTACTTAAATAAAATAGTAAATAAATAAATGTTAAATGAAGATTTATAATACTTCGTGTAAAACATAAAAGGTAATATTATCAATTTAACGCAAAGTTATTAGTTTTAAGTTTATATTTTTAATTACTATATATTTGTATTCGGGCAAGTGATTGATGCATATTTTTACTTCATTACTTACTAAATACTACATAAATTTCATTTTGTACCTATTAGCTTTAACAATGTAGTTCACCAAAAAATCAAACGTCAAATTTCTTTAAATTTTATATTTTGATTTAATAAGCTATTTGTTGTTAATTTTACTTTTTAAATAATAATGTGATTAAATAATTTCATATTGAAATACAATGTTGACTTTGATAATTTGATATCATAGCTACGCCAGTACGCCTATATATAGGACTCGTTCACCTTAACACAAAAAAAACGACCAGCATACTCTAAAATGGCAACCTCTGTTCTTCCTCTTCTCTCACTACTGTTCACACTCCTACTCTCCACTTCCACCGCCTTCCCCACTTCACCGCCGCCGTCAGCCTCACATATCTCCGACCAATTTTACCAATGCATCGCCCATCAGACTTCCGGAAAAAGAAATCTCTCCCAGTCTTTCTTCACCCCGGAAAACCCCTTATTCGCCGGCGTCCTGAATTCCACCGCTCAGAATCTCCGGTGCGTTGAGCCCAACGTCGCCAAGCCGCTGCTCATATTCACTCCCCTCGACGAGTCCCAGGTCTCCGCCGCCGTCACCTGCGCCAGCGGCCTCCGGCTCCAGCTCAGAGTCCGCAGCGGCGGCCATGACTACGAGTGCCTCTCTTACATTTCTCTGATGGGAATTCCGTTCGCCATCGTCGATCTATCCAAGTTGAGGTCCGTGGATGTGGATGTGAAGAATAAAGTGTCTTGGGTTCAGGCCGGGGCGACGGTCGGAGAAGCGTATTACCAGATATCGCTGAAAAGCAACGTTCTTGGTTTTCCGGCGGGGCTCTGTTCCAGCTTGGGAATCGGCGGGCACATCACCGGCGGCGCGTACGGGTCAATGATGAGGAAGTACGGTCTCGGGGTGGACAACGTATTGGATGCGAAGATGGTGGACGCGAAAGGGAGGATTCTTGACAGGAAAGGGATGGGGGAGGAGGTGTTCTGGGCGATAAGGGGCGGCGGCGGAGCCAGCTTCGGGATCATACTGTCCTGGAAGCTAAAGCTGGTTCCGGTTCCGGCAACCGTCACGGTCTTCAACGTCCCGAGGACTCTGGAACAGGGGGCGACCAAAGTGCTCTCCAAGTGGCAGAAAGTGGCCGATAAGCTTGACGAGAATCTCTTCATCAGGGTGGTCATCACGCCGGCGAACGGCACTGACCCCGGAAAGAGGACGATCCAGACCGCCTACAACGCCCTGTTCCTCGGTACCTCCGACGTGCTGCTGAAGCTAATGAACCAGGTAAATATATTGAACTAATTCCCAGCCAATTGGAATATGAAAAATTTCATATAAATAACACTAAAACATAAATCATTTTTTCAATATAATACTTAAACTTTTTTATTTCGTAAACAAGATTTAATAATGTGTAGAGATAAGATATAATGTTCAGTGATGGAGGACATTTACTTGAGTAATGACTAATTAATAATGACCAATATTATTATATTTGAAAATAAAAACATACAATCATGAGAAAGTCATTATGTTTTAGTCTTATTTAAAAAAATTATTCATTCGATATAATTGGTTTATCTTATTATATAGCTTTGATATATCAAATTTTTATACTCCCTCCGTCCCATAAAACATTTCCTGTTTCAAAAAAGGCGCACCCTTAAAATGAGTAATTTTAGTGTTATTTTCTAATTTTGTCCTTACTTTATAAAAGAATAGGATGAGATGTGTAGAATAGATTAGTCATAATTAAAAAATAACACTAAAATTACTAATTCTAAAGGCGTGTCATTTTTGAAACAGGAAATGTTTTATGGGACGGAGGAAGTATTATTTATTTACTTATTTAGATTATACTTAACTTGTGTTAAAAATGTCAATATTTGATCAAAAAATCAAAAATGAAAGGTTTTTAGGACCGAAACGAATATATTGAATTCTAAAATAAAATCAAAGCCAAATAGTTCAATAGCTTCAATGGCCCTATGATAAAATAATATTTTAAAAATATTTCATGTAATAAATCTAATAAAACTATTTTTGTATCAATATCTAATACTTTGTATCATTTTTACTAAATGAAAAATTAAAGTTTATGGATTTTGACTGAAAAATGTATAAAATTAACAAATAACCATGAGAGAGGGAGTATTATTTTTATTGTCTAAAATAAAGTTATGAGTTGTTGGCATTTACATTGCTTATAAAGTTGTTTAAGGGAGTACTTAAGATAATTGTGAATTGGTGCTCTAAAAGTTTTCACCAATTAGATTAATGTCTTTTTCTCTTGAAATAATCATTCTAATTTCACTTCACTTCATAAAATCATAAAAAAGGATGAAAGTTAAAAACATTTAGTTGATATATGTTTGTTTAAAAGAAAGAGAAGTATTGTGAGTTACATATTATAATTTTATTTCAGTTCATAGGATAATGATTTTTTGAATGACCATATAATTAATTTCGAATGGAGAAAGTAGGTCATTGTGGAGTAATTAATTTGTCAAGAGCTCACCCAAAATAAGAGTATAACTAGTAGCACTACTTTAAAATAAAAGTGATACAACAGAGTTTTATCTCAAAATATAACTATTGCAATGTGCAAACGTGACACTATATATCATTATTTTACAATATTTTTTATTGGCAATGATCTTTTGACTCTTGAATCTCGGATTATAATTCTCGGGTCATATTATGACCCGAGATCCTATGATGCTCCGTTCGTAATGGGGGAGAGGGACATGAGGTGTTGGGTTGGGGTGGGTAGGTAGGGGTTTGGGGGTAGAGTTTATGGGGTAGGAATCATTAATTTTACGAATAGAGCATTGTAGAGGTCTCCGATCATAATATGACCCGAGGTTCAAGGGTCAGAAGAAGAATTTATTTAGAGTTTATTTACATTGGGGGAGAGGGGTAGAGTGTGTAGAGTATTTTATAATATTATATAGAGTTTATTTACATTGGGGGAGAGGGGTAGGGGGTGCTGGGGTGGGGTGGGTAGGTAGGGGTAGGGGTAGAGTTTATAGGGCATATGAAATACTCCCTCCGTCCCCAATTAGATTACAATATTTCCTCTGATTTTTGTCCCAAAAAAAATTACAAAGTGTTTACTTTTTACACTAAATGGACTCTTTTACTCTCCCTCTTTTTTATCATTTCAATGTCAAAATCTCACCCACCCACCCATTCCTATATTATTTGGGGGTAATTTTAGTAAAAAAAAATATTAATTTGACTCTTCTTTAATTTTGTCTAAAAAGAAATATTGTAATAAAGGGGACGTAGGGAGTATCAATTTTAACGGAGCAGGCTCACATCACAATATGACTCAGATCAAAGGGTCAAAAGAACCCTTTTATTCTATAATTATCAATACGGAGTATTAATGATGGGTTTTACTGGTCTTGATTATAGAGTAATTTTCTCATGAAACAGAGCTTCCCGGAGCTAGGACTGAAAAAAAGAGACTGCATCCAAATGAGCTGGATCCAGTCAGTCCTGTTCATCGCCGGCTTTCCGCTGGGCACTCCGACGAGCGCTCTCCTGGCCGGAAAACCACCATTCACGAACCACTTCAAAGCCAAATCCGACTTCGTGAAAACCCCCATCCCGGAAACAGGTCTGACCGGGCTATGGCAACGCCTCCTGCAAGAAGACACGCCGATGATGATACTCAACCCGTACGGCGGCAAGATGGCGGCGATCCCGGAATCCGCCACGCCGTTCCCGCACAGATGCGGCAACCTTTTCATGATCCAGTACCTGACCCTCTGGAGCGAGGACGACGTCACGGTGGCTGCGAAGCACTACGAATGGATCGGGAAGTTGTACGATTACATGGAGCCGTACGTGTCGAGGTATCCGAGGGAGGCGTATGTGAACTACAGGGATCTTGATCTGGGCATGAACAAGAATCATGGGAAAGTTACGTTCTTGGAAGCGAGTTCTTGGGGAACCCTTTATTTCAAGGACAACTTCCGGAGATTGGCGCAGGCGAAGACGAAGATCGACCCCAACAACTTTTTCCGGCATGAACAGAGTATCCCGACAATTTAACCATCTCCGGCGGCGTCGTCACCGGCGTATATCTGAAATACGGAGTACATACATACTCTGTAACAAAGAGACTTTCCTCCATATTGACTTGGGGCCGAAGCACAAATTTCATGTTTACTATTTACACACGTTCAAACTTCAAATAGTGTTTACATTTTTATTTTTTTCAGTATTTATATTCTTTGGGTATAAATATAGTCACATCAGTTCTTGTTTTTTCACATTTTTTATGCTCCGCAATTTTTGAAAATATAATTGTCAAAGTTTTAAAATATTACAAGTATATATTTTAATAACATGAGGCCAGTTCAAATGACATTGAGAACCAATGTCGTGGGATGACCCAGAGTGCTCCGGTGCCCCGTTCGTAAAATTGACGATTCCTACCCCCGGTAAACCCCCCACCACGCCCCGACCCGAACGTGGCCCCCCACCCCCTTCAATTGCACCCCAAGTTGATTTTGACTTTGGAGTCAAATTTTGACTCCAAAGTCAAAATAGACTTGGGGGTGCAATTGAAGGGGGTGGGGGGCCGCGTTCGTGTCGGGGGGTAGGAACCGTCAATTTTACGAACGGGGCACCGGAGCACCGGAGCACCCCCGGTCATCCCATGACATTGGTTCTCAATGTCATTTGAACCAAGGTATAATAACATAGTCTATACATAAGCAATCACATTATGGTTAAAGTATTCCCTTGGAGAACATAGAAACTATGAAGTTACAGAAAAAGAAAACTTATGAACAAATAAGTAATGAAAAATGTAAAATTTGTTGAAAAGTCAAAGATGCTTTGTTAAAATGTGAAAAAGTATATTGTAAAATAATATATTTTAAAGAGATAAAAATATAAGAGAAAACATTCATCTTATAAAACGAGTAGTGGAAAAGTATAAATTTTTTAAGTGAAAATATAAACTTTATTGTGAAACAAATAAGCATATATAAGTATGTAAGTATAATCCACCATATTGAATTTACACGAGCAAAAATGATAAATTTAATGAAACTAGGTTGAATACAACATGCTTATCCCTTTTATGTGATGAGTAATCTCTTGTAGAGAGCATATTTCTCATAGTTTTTTTTATTAAAGAAGATATTTTAGTTTGTTTATAAAGAAAATTAAATAAATATATTCTGAGAAGTACAAGATTTTTGAGATTTTTGAGAAAATTCATGCTGATAACGTGTTATAAAATGAGAGAAAAACTACATAGACTGTGAAGACAAAAATATGAGAAATATGTATATTAGAAGGGTTTATTGCTAACACTATTACAAATATTATACATATTATAAAAATGATAATTTGATAGTGATGATAGACAATTTCAAGCAAGCATGGCCTAATTAATTAATGAGTAATTTACCTAAATAGAACTAAAGCGTAATGACTTTCTCAATATATGATAATATATTTTAATTTCCCAATGTAGGACCATTGATCATTATCTATTAGTCATTATTCAACTAAATGTCTATTATCACTTGGACATTATTCTTCTCACTAGCCATTATTAAGTTCTATTTAGAGAATACAAAAGTTTAAGTCATACATTGGAAAATGACTTATGTTTTAGTTCTATCCAGTGCAAATTCTATTTAATTAATAAGTGAACAATTCATATATTTCTTAGCCTAAACCACCTTATTTATCTCTTACTCCCTCCGTCTTAAAATTAACTTCTCAGTTTGACTCTTGTAGTCAAACTTTTTAAATTTTGACCGTATATTACGAAAAAATAAAATGAATTTTCATATAAATTTATTAGCAATAGATTAATTTTGAAACATAGTTTTGAAATATATACTACCTCCTACCACTCTCTTTGTCTACTTTTGAATTTTGGAATTGTTCATCTAAGCAATATGACTTATCAAATTCTCTCAATGTGTAAGCCTAAATATAGTCATGTGTGATCTTGTTTAATTTGTCTTAACATATAGATTATTACTCCCTCCGTCCTAATTTTTTCTTCCCAATTTGACTTTTCCCCATTTTTAATTTTTGGCTTTGACTTCAAATTTTACCCTCCTTAAAAAAGATTTTTTGAATTTTTTTTCTACAATCATTCAAAATATAGAGTTAGAAGATAATTGGTGTAAATACATGGGGGGTATTAATGTCATTTGTTATCTTTTTTTCTAATGGGAAGGTAGTTTTAGGACGGAGAAAAAGGGGAAGTGGGAAGAAAGTTTTAGAACAGAGGGAGTAATATATAATTTCTATAATTTTTTAATATACAAATTACAAGATAAAATGGATTAAAGAAGTATATTGGATGATGTGTAAAAATGAAAGTGGACAAATATTTGGGACGGAAGGAGTAATTTTTATAAAATATATTTATATAAAAATTGAGATATTGATAGTTAAAGTATCACATCGGAGATGGTAAAAAGTAAAATGAGAAATTAATTTTATTATTGTTTTTTTCGGCCAAGGGTTTTCTGCTTATCCCTCTCTCCCTCCGGCCTCCGGCTTCAGCCGCCCACAATCTCGCCGGACGGGGGTGTCCGCACAGCTCACGACCACGTGCTCTTCATCTCTTACTTCATTCTCTAAATTCTCCATCTCGACTTCTTCGTCTCCGCAGTGTCCCGCGTCTACGACTCGTGGCAACGATTTGTCCAGCTGCTGCAGCTGCAACTCTGTGAATTCTCGAAATGGAAACGGTATGCTTAATTCCTAGCCCAGTTTTGCGTCAATTCTTATTATTATTGTTTTTTAAAAATGATCTTTTTTTCTGATACTCCTAAACCAGCAAGGAGTCCGCCACACACAAGAATGCGCAGCAAGGGTTGGGGAAGGGAGAGACGTGAGAAAGAACAAAGGTTTGGAGAGAGAAAAGAGGTTTAGGAGGAAGGGTTTTGTTATTGCTTACGGAGATGTGAGGGATAAACTCCCTTAAATAGTAACAAGTTACCCAATTCTACTTAAACTAGGTTATCTATCCTGTCGGTTCAAGAAAAAGCGACCAGGTAAAGAACCGAAAAGGAACCCTCGAAGGAGCTTATAATTCGCTCACCTAGAAAAATCTAAAGTACAATAATTAATTAACGAAACATGAATTAATTGAATAATTTAAATATAGTCTTGATAACGCTTCGGTGGCTGAATGGTCCGCTTCGGGCGTGCATGCGGGGCAGCGGCTACACTCGGGTTGGCATGCACCAGGGGCACGTCCACTTCTACCGTATCAACTCCCCCGGGGTTGACAACGGCCTCGTCCTCAAGGGCGAGATCCGGGTAATGGCGGCGAATGTCCTCAACCGGTTCCCACGTGCTATCTTTAGGACCACCATCGGACCAACGAATGAGCCATTGGTCCTGGGGATGGCCATCCACTAGAATGGTACGGGCGGCAACAGCCTGGAGGGGAACGGACACTAGGCAGCCTTTAAAGAAGTCAGCAGGCAGTGCAACAGGCGGCAGAGAAGGGCCCTGCTGGATGAATGGGCGCAACAAGGAGACGTGAAAGACATTGTGTATGCGGCTATTCGGCGGAAGCTGTAGGCGATAAGCCACTGGGCCCACCCGCTCTAAAACTGGAAATGGGCCGTAATATCGGCGGGAGAGTTTGGATGAAAGAGGCCTGGCAACGGAGTGTTGGCGATAAGGGCGGAGCTTCAAAAGGACCAAATCGCCGACCGCATAAGAAACATCACGTCGGTGGGAATTGGCCTGGGCCACCATGTGTTGACGCATTTTGGCCAAATGAGTCTTTAAATCAGTGAGAAGGTCTGCTCGTTCCCGAAGAAGGTCTTCTACCGAAGCTATACGTGAACGTACGGCCATTGTTGGAAAAATAGACGGTGGCGGGCGGCCATACAATGCCTGAAAGGGAGACATGCCGATGCTCTCGTTATGGCTGCAATTGAGGGCAAGTTCAGCCCATGGGAGGAATGCAGTCCACCGAGCTGGTCGTTCGTGCACAAATGCACGTAGGTATTGTTCCAAGCTGCGATTGACGACCTCCGTCTGGCCATCAGTCTGTGGGTGATATGCGGTGCTGAACTTCAATGAGGTGCCGCTGAGGCGCATTAACTCTTTCCAGAAAAGACTCATGAACACCGAATCCCAATCAGAGACAAGGTCCTGAGGGAACCCATGGTGCTTGACGACGATGTCGAGAAATAGTTGAGCGACGCGTGGGGCATCAAAATCAGCCGGCAGAGATCCAAAATGAGAGTATTTCGTGAGGCGATCCACCACAACGAGAATAGTAGCAGCCCCGCGGGATGGTGGAAGGCCGGTTATGAAATCCATCGAGGCCGACTCCCAGACTTGATTAGGCACAGGTAGGGGCTGGAGTAAGCCTGCGGGCTTCCGTGTGGAGTATTTTGTCGCTTAACAGGCCACACAAGCGGCCACAAATTGACGCACGTCCCTTCGCATGGTGGACCAGTAGAAAGTAGTGGGAAGGCGGTGAAACGTGCGCTCAACTCCTTGGTGGCCGGCCATTGGGGAGCTATGATATTCGGCGAGCAATTGATGACGTAGAGAGGACACTGAGCTAAGGACCAGGCGGTGCCGATAGTATAAGAACCCGCCATGCACAGAGAAATCGGGCTTTGCCGTCCAGGCCGTGACCGCGGCGTGCAGTTGCTGGAGTTCGGGGTCCTTGGTATTCTCGTCGGCCAGGGCGTCCAGTAACTTGGGGAGGGGCCGAGAATAGGTGGTAAACAACGCAGCCAGTTCTGTGTCGTCGCCCCGGCGGGATAGAGCATCGGCGGCGCGGTTTGTGGACCCCGCTTTATACTCAATCCGAAATTTGTACCCCATCAATTTCCGGATGTAGAACTGTTGATCGGGGGTTTGGACCACCTGATGGAGCAGTTCCTTGAGGCTACGTTGATCACTCCGAATCACAAACTCGCGACCGAGTAGATACTGGCGCCATTTTTGTACTGCCTCAACAATAGCATATAGTTCCTTATGGTATGTGGACGCTAGGCGGCGTCGTGGCCCCAATTTTTTGCTGAAGAAGGCCAAGGGATGTCCCTGTTGGAGTAACACCGCGCCGACGCCGGAGTTGGAAGCATCTGTCTCCAAATAAAAAACCTGAGTAAAATGGGGTAGACGCAAGACGGGGGCCGTTGTCATTGCTGTTTTCAAAGCCGCGAAGCTGGTATCGGCGTTGGCGTCCCAAAGAAAGTTATCCTTCTTGAGGAGGTCAGTAAGGGGGGAGGCCAAGACCGCATACCCGGAGATGAAGCGACGATAATACCCGGTCAATCCGAGAAAGGCGCGGAGCTGGGTCACGGACGTTGGCTTCGGCCAGGCAACCATCGCTGCTATTTTGTCAGGATCTGGTTTGAGCACCCCTGCATCGATAATGTGTCCCAAATAACCGATCTGGGATGTGCAAAATGAACATTTCTGGAGCTTGATGTAAAAGGAGTGGCGGTGCAATGTTTCCAAGACTGTGGCGAGGTGGGTGACGTGTGCTTCGGTTGTGGGGCTGTAGACCAAGATATCATCAAAGAAGACGATCACAAAGCGGCGTAGATGGGCGCGGAAGAGACTGTTCATTGCTTCCTGGAAGGTTGAAGGAGCGTTTGTAAGGCCGAACGGCATGACCAAGAACTCATAGTGGCCCTCGTGTGTCCGAAAAGCTGTTTTGAACACGTCATCCCCATGCATACGGATCTGGTGGTAGCCAGAGCGGAGATCAAGCTTTGTAAAGACCCGTGCAGACCCCAATTCATCAAAGAGTTCGTCAGAGGTGGGGATTGGAAAATGATCCGGTACGGTTGCGGTGTTCAAGGCTCGGTAGTCGACACAAAACCGAAAAGTGCCGTCTTTCTTGCGGACGAGCAGGACCGGAGAAGAGAAGGGGCTGAAGCTCGGTCGAATAATCCCTTGATGTAACATATTCCGGACCTGGCGTTCAATCTCGGTTTTCTGAAAATATGGGTAGCGGTACGGCCGGACGTTGATGGGCTGGGTTCCCAGCGTGAGGTGGATGCGGTGGTCCCAGAACCGTGGGGGTGGCAGGCCTATGGGTGTCCCAAAAACAGCCGCATGTGACTCCAGTAGGGCCGTGATGGGGCCTGGCAGATCTGGAGGAAAAGCAGGCCGCTCAGAGGTGGTGGTGGACGGCGGGCTGGGTGAGGGCACGAGTTCGTATAAGTCCACCGGGGTGGGGGAAGCCAGCATGGCGCGCAACTGATTAAAGGAAACTGGGCGCGGCTTCGGCATGTCACCTCGGAGCGTGACGGTTGTACCATTCCATAAGAACTCCATGGTGAGTTTCGCGTAGTCGTGGGCTACCTTGCCCAAGGTTTGCAGCCACTGTACGCCGAGCACAATATCGGGGCCGTGGACCTCAAGCATAAACAGATCAATCTCAAATAAGTGGCCCTGGAGAGACAACGGGGTACGGGGGCAACTATACGAGCACCGTAGCGAGTCACCATTACCCACATACATACGAAAAGGCGAGACGGGATAAAGCACTAATGATAAACGTTCAGCCACCCCAGGATGGATGAAATTATGAGTGCTTCCACTGTCGAGGAGGACCTGGACGGCTTTACCATTAACTAAGCCGGCCAACTTGAGAGAGCGAGGGTGCGGACTGCCAGACATGGAATGGATGCTCGAAACATCCCCGGTGATAACCGTGCTGAGATCGGCCAGATCTGAGGGAGGTTCTTCAAGGAGCGGCAGACCCTCCTCGTCATCCGGTCCCATGAGCGCCAAGAAACGCCGCCGACAATTATGGTTGCGATCCCACTTCTCTTCACACCACCGCCTTTCTTGCTTCGCTCTGCTCTTTCTGCCGCGGAGACTGTCACCACTGGGAGGTTGCTAGGCGATGGGCGATCCGGCGGTTTGGCCACCTCTGGAGTTGTACGGGTGTTTAGAGGAGGCGTGGGCAGGATGCCAGCGGTGGAAGGTGCCGGTCGATTCAGCCAGGGCCGGCGTGGGGAAGAGCCAAAGGTTACTGCAGCCTCTTGATGGCAGGCTGAGAGTTCCCGTGCCAAAGCAAATGCTGATTGAAGGGTGGTAGGATTGCGTAGGTTAAGTTCGCGCTGGACAGGTTGTTTCAGGCCCGCCACAAAGATGGAGATCAGCGTTGTCTCGGGGACTCCGGAAACCTTATTCAGTAAGGATTCAAAAGCCGTTTGATAATCCAAAACGGAAGAGGTCTGAGTCAACTTAGAGAGCAAGCCCACATAATTCTCGTAATAATTTGGATCAAAGCGCTGTTGAACAGCGACCAAGAATTCAGCCCAGCTTGCGCCATGAGTGTTGGATTGGTAATAATGAAACCAATCGGAGGCCGGATGGTCGATCAGCATGGCGACCAATTGAAGGCGTTCGGGCTCCGGTGTAAGAAAATAATCAAAATATTTTTGGATACGGAAAATCCAACCTGTCGGGTCATCGCCAGAGAAACGGGGAGGAAGGGTTTTGTTATTGCTTACGGAGATGTGAGGGATAAACTCCCTTAAATAGTAACAAGTTACCCAATCCTACTTAAACTAGGTTATCTATCCTGTCGGTTCAAGAAAAAGCGACCAGGTAAAGAACCGAAAAGAAACCCTCGAAGGAGCTTATAATTCGCTCACCTAGAAAAATCTAAAGTATAATAATTAATTAACGAAACATGAATTAATTGAATAATTTAAATATAGTCTTGATAACGCTTCGGTGGCTGAATGGTCCGCTTCGGGCGTGCATGCGGGGCAGCGGCTACACTCGGGTTGGCATGCACCAGGGGCACGTCCACTTCTACCGTATCATTTTCCTTCTCTCTTGTTGGAAAAATATAGCCTGTATTAATCTTTCCCTCAAGCGAATGTACAGAGGATAGCGCGCCTAAGAAGGATATTCCTCCCCCGGAGGAATTCTACAGGCTTAGGCTTAGTGATTGTGAGCTCGCAATTATGGCTGACGACAAGGAGAGATTTCTAGATGCCGTCAATGGAGAAAATGGCAGCTTACCACCTACCGTGAGCCTAAGGAGTATCAATCTTGGTCTATTTATGAACGATGCTTCAAAATGTGCCGAAGCAGTGCTAGAAGGAAAAGCCTAACCACTGACTTCCAGTCACGCTTTCTTTTTTGATGGGTTTTATGAGCTTCACAATGCTGCAAGATATCAGTCCCTCAAAATCACGAGGTTGTTTGTTGAACATGACAAAAATAGAGCCATGTCCAATGCTAGATGTGATGCCAGGCTGGGTTTCTGTGAAGCTGAGGTGCTTCCTCTCCACATTGCACTTGCAATTCCTGCGTACGTCTACATCTCTTACTTTATTTCAATTTGTTCCTATGAAGGATTAGGCTCAACTGAAGAGAACTTATCTCCCCATGCCCGAATATTTTTTTTCCTTTCTTCTATGCTCTGCATTACAACTTACAAGCAAAATTTGTCTCATTTCTGTTTTAGGAATGGACTTGTCTTTGCTGATTGGGTTGATAGAAATGGAGGCAGTGACGCCTTTAAGCTTATCTGTAGACTTTGTGCTCCAAGTATGAGGCACAGTTTGGAGATTGCGAGATTGATCGCCCTGAAGACAAATAAGATTGAAAAGGAAGCCCTTAATTATGCAATGGAAGGAAAAATTGTTGAATTTTCTATTCTGTTGATGGTAGCCTCTGAAAAAGTGCTGAGGACACCGGTCTATCCAGAGATTAAGGATAATGTACGTAAAATGTTATCAGGCGAAATCTATTTTGTGTTTTCGTATTTGGCTGCAATACTGGCTCAAAGTCAACAAAGAGGAAGTTCTAATACAGGTCAGTTGCAAAAGTGCAGGGAGAAAAAGGTCAAGCTTAAGAAAATATTGGTATTGCTCCAAATATTTGAGACAATCGGGGACAAACTTGCTAAGTATCTTCAGTTGGAACAACCCAAAGTATGTGGCTCCTATATACAGTACTTGTTTTTTTCTTTTTTTTTTTTGCCAAAATTTATCTTTCCTAACAACAACACATTACCCCAGTGCCTCAAAGGCTGCCTCTTATTGCGGGTTAAGGGGGGTCGGATGCGTTGAAAGTCTTTGACTAACCGCTCCTTCATTATTAAAAAAAGGCAAATAGTTTAAAGAACTATTTTGTTTTATTTCATCATACTCCAAATCCAAAAAATAGTGAATCTTTGCTAAATTCTGTCTTTTTTGGGGTCTGCAGCCCTCTTTTGTGGAGGTTACTCGACAAGTGGGTCACATCTTTGAGGAAGGCGGAATTCATTCTAGGCTTGAGGTGGTAGAAGAGGATCCAATGTATGCTCTTCCTCCCTCATATTCTGCGTTCTTTACATTTCTCTGATACACGTATTGTCGCTGGTGATTGAGTATATGCATTGCCAGAGTTCCAGGTTTCTTATAATTTAGAGTTTTGCTGTAAAGTGTGTCATCAAAATACTCCCCTCGTCCGTATGTGACTCATACGGTATTCGGTAATATTTGTGTGATTCACATTCTTTTCTACCTTGTCTTTGTAACATCAATAGAAATAACGTAATCTTTTTTTAAAACTTTTGTGCAAATCATGTCCCAAAAATCATGAGTCGGAGGGAATAATATCGTGTTTAGGTAAAAATAAATTTTAAATAGCGGATCCTAGCTAGAATCATGAGGAGGTTGGAGGATTGTAAATAGCGGATCATAACTCGCATCATAATATTCAATAATTATATTTAAAATTAATAAGATGTTCGTAATTTGAAAAAGTAAAAAAGCCATAAGTGATACAACCTTCGTCCCAAAGTATTCGTTTAGGTTGACTTTTTCAATTTCCATATTAATACAAAAATGATTTCATTATTTTATGAGGTCATATCATCCAAATTAGAACAACTTTGGAACTTCAAAATAAAGTTTCCAGTCATTGAGCATTTTACTAAATCACCATCAAATATAATGTATTGCGTGATACATGCCTCTTTCAAATATAATGGGCCACTTTGGGCCGATGACTACACATCACCAACAGATATATGTTATCCTTACTTTTTTTTCTCTAGAACCTTCCACAGAACTTTTCTTAGTACCCTGTCATATGCCGATTTTTATCTACAATAATACTTCATTTATGTTATTCACCTTTCCTGGATACCATAGTTTGGAGCGTGAAGTGTCCAACTCCTTTATCTACATAATATTAATCCTTCTCCATATCATAGTATCCATCAACTCCATGGACTTGCTTGTCATAGTACATATGTTTTATGTCCCAAATTCCAACTTATATTGACCTTTACCTTTACCTTTGTGAACTTGCTTATTTATCCAAACTTGTTCACCAAAACACTGGAACCCTTTCTTATTTTGCATTACACCCGGGCACCGATGCAGTGGCCCTAGCTCATTTGACCCTGTACCATGGTTATCAAGTCTTCGCTTAGTCGTGGAGTAGTTGCCGACTAGTCGTCCAGTCGGAAATAAGAGGTAGTGACTAGGGTGGCGACTAAAAACTGAAGGGCTAGGATGCACAGATATGTGGATCTGATTCTGTTTGGCATCCCAAAAGCGTCAGTGGGGACAATAGTGTGGGTGTCGAGAGACAAAACCAAATCATGCAGACATCTACTTGATGAAGATTTACGCTTAAAGTTAGTTTTGTTATGCTATTAAATACTCCTACTTTGTATGTTGTTATTTTAAGTGATATAATTTTAATTAATTTTAAAAATATGGAATATTACTTATTATGACTCGTCGGCTAATCAGTGACTAGTCACCTAGTTTCCTCTACACTGACTTGACCTGTACTTGAGCCATACAACGCGTTGCTTCCAGGCAACAACTTAGCTTTAATGCAATATTGTGTTTGATCCATGTCATGAAAATTCGACAAAGTTTTACGTTGGTTGCCTAGACCAAACACAACCCTCCTCTTTTTACCTGGGCTTGGGACCAGCTATGTAACATTGTTACATAGGCAGAGTTTACTATAACATTTAGATAAACATTAAAAATTATATAGAAAATAAGGATAAAATGATTATGTCATAAACTTGTATCATGTCACATATGTATGTATAGAGGAAAACATTCTAGTTTTATAGCACTAGACTTGATTTTTATTGCAATAACTCAACAATTATATAGGGGCGGTTAAATGATGATATTATACATGATATGTGGTTGATGCTATCATTTTTGAGTTTCTTCTCTGCAAGGGCTTTAAAAGCACGAGACAATTAACAAAAGATTGGATTATACAACACATTGCTTTTGGAGAAGATCATATTTCATGTTTCAAATCCAAATAGAGAGAGAGAGAGATTGAGGGGGGAGGAGGGTAGATAGAGGGATCATTTGACACCGACACTGAGTGTCGTAATATGCCGTTGGGGTTAATATTGCAGAGCGTGTTTCCTAAACCCTAATGGTATGTCATGTAGTTGAAAAATGAGCTAATGTTGTTTATTCTGTTAATATATAATGCAGAAATAAAACGTATTATCGGCAAATAATTGGTGACCCACATGGAATAGGTCTAAACGGTAATGCAATCATATTTTCTTAGTGCTGTTGTATTTCTCCAAAGGGTTGATTATAACATAGTTAGTCATTGTTTTTGTTGCTTCATTTTGTTCTCTATCTCTACATATTTTTTAAATACTAGTCTTGCGATGAAGTATACACATTGATTTACATAAATTTAAGATATTGTTACTAACGTAAAAAGTGTAGTGTTGGAATTTGTTTAGAAGAATGTGAAATGCGATGATCCGCTTGTTCCTTTCCTTAGAATGAAATAGGAGAACTGTAATGTGTATTTTGTGATGGGTGAAAAAGGAAAGTGTAAGCTTCATTGCAATTCATTCGGAGTCATTGTTTATAATTTAAAAAGAACCTTTGGAATGAAACAATCTCTTATACTTTAAGTGAATTTTTTCCAATAACATGCAGTTCCGCCCCCAAAATAAGAAGGTCGTTTACTTTTTTTGGTTTGTCCCAAAGTAAGATTATTCACTTTTAGCTAACGAATGTGTGGTTATCATTATTTATCTCATATCAATTCCAACCACTCATTTTTTCACTTTTCAACACTTTTCTTAGACGATGTGTTTGGTAAAAATGAAATTTTAATTTGGAACGAAGGGAGAGCTTCATAAATGCACAAGTAGTGAGCTATAATTTCAACCTCTATGTTCTATATCTACATTATGTTTGAAACGCTTATGAAGTGACGTGGTGACAAAACTTGTTGACTTCACAGTATTGGGGGCTGCTGTCAGACAAAATACAACCCTTTTTTAGAAATATGATCTGTTATTTTTTGTTTATTTTGTTCTTGTGGTTTATGGTTTTTGGTAATAAAACAATCACGTAACAGAGTATGTAAAAGTCATCAAAATGTGCCCTCATGTCACCCCTAAGCAATTTGAACGCACATTAACTTGTTGGTGGTACATTAGAATCAAATGGGTTGATAGTATGGCTCCCCCGAGAAACTCAAATAAACTGGGAACTTTTGTGCCATCATGTTTAATCTATTGA